GCGTGCTAGCAGTACCGGCCGACGCCTGCTAACACACTTAGCTTCCGGTCAAAGTGAAACCGCACTGCGTTCAGGAGTATCAAACGCTTGCCTAGAGAAACAATATGGCACAAAATTGTTACGTTCGTCTTCACTTCGATCAGGATTCCAGATGTTGTCAATCCAGATTTCGCGCTCAGCATCATTTAGTAGTTTTAAACTATACTTCAGCTTCAAATTTTTCAGTTGGCTCCGACGGGTCCTTTCAACCATATGGTGAGTCCATCTTCTCGCTTCCGGAGCTCGATTGTGCGAACAACACCCTGTAATGATACCAGTTGGTCCTCCATGGCTGTTTCGCTAAACGCTCAGTCGTCTCATGTCTGGCAGGGATCTCTTGCGTCACTGAAAACGACTCTACTACAAAGGCTCGGGCATCGTCCTCACAGACATCAGCGCATAGGAGCAACTTGGTAATGTGGGCTAGCATACGGAGGTCCTACAAGAAACACAACCAGTACACGCTAGGCAAAATCAACCATTTACCCTTCATTTTAGGTCTGGCAAGAACTAATAATAGTAGGAAAAATGAAAGTACCAAGTAAATATTGAGTGAGGGATTGAAAAAACGTTCCCAGGTTTGACGCTAGACATAGTCATAGGTACTGGAAAGTCGTTCAAATTCTTTTCTAACTTACTGTCGCCTGTGAAACTATAAGATTGCATATACTCTAATAGATCCTATTACGTGCACGATGCATAAAGCTAATTTTCTCATCTTTTTCTGCCTAGTGTGCTTGTCTTTATATTTGCCACTGGCCAGCTGGCGCGATCTCCCGCTCATTGCGATAACCTCTGTACGGTGCGTACACTTGTCCGTATGATCAGAACCTGGGTAGACTGCCAAATGAATACGTTATGTCACGTTGCTATTATGAACAGCATAAAGATAAGTTGGACATTTTTACCTACTGGTATCGGCAAAATAATATCGTATCCGTAACTTCGATCGGTTAAGAAACAACTTCATTCATATAGACCATTCAATCCATGAATTAGGACGCGATGTTGACAGATACAAGGCCTGACTCGGAATCACTCAAGTACGGCTACTAGGTAGGCCTGCGGCCTAAAGTCTGATGAAAATTAAAAAGATGTTGGAATGAAATGCACACGAATGAAGTTACGTCAGCGCTGGTTTAATTGTCCAGTTCGTTTTTCAGTTTAATGACGAAGGAGTTTAGCCATGAGCCGGTGTCACAGATGCTGCAAGGTCCTAATCTGTAATTTAGGCTTCAATGCTAAGCAGATTAGCAGTACGACGATCGCACGCTACTATCTGATAATAACACCGATAGGGTGTCGCACGAGTATTTCATATATAAGGCCACGCAAATCACATAATGCGCTAATTTCAGTGTATTAATGATCCGAAATTTACACCTTATTTTAACGCATCTTGATTACTCCCTAATGAAGTCTCGATTCACACCTGGGCTATAAATTTCCCGCCTCCTGAATACGGCCCCCTAAGCAGGATGGCACCCGAACGACAAATATGCATACTTATACACGGACTATACGTTTACGTTATTTTTGAAATCGAAGTGTTGCAATATTATCAGTTAATACTGTTAGAAAAATGCAATAGTTACAAATTTGTGAAGAGCCTGAGAGTTTTGTGTGACCCGTTAGAGTTCGCAGCCGTATTCTATATCATAACAGTAGAGATTCAACCCCTATTGGTGAATCAGCGTATTTTTCAGCAGGGCCTTTTGCTATTTAGTCCAGGCCGGCTTTTAGGCCTCAGGTGTGTCGTATGGTACTACACGCAGCGTAGACCAGTAATGACATCTGAATTTCAATCAGAATTCAATCGTTTCGGCACTATATAATTTATACTTAAAGCTTACTTTACGAATGGACGACGATACGGCAAGCAGGTAAAAGTACCGCACCTACTTAGAGTGTTTGTAATAGCTTAAGTAAGCTACAAAATCGGACGGCTGATTTAGTTAAATCAAGGAGCGCTTTTATTCAAAAGGACAGAGAAAACATCGGGGCCAGATCTCTATTTGGATGAGACTTTTCATAATTAAAATATGTAGTATAGTAAAGGTAAGCAAGTTTACAAGTTAAAACGGGTTGACAGTTGGGACCTTGGTGTAGCACTCGAAAACGAAGCTCGACGTACGAGCGATATTTAAGAATCTAGGGAGTGGGCTGGCAGTGCACAACGTAAGGATTGAAAAGGAAAGAATTTCTGATCAAGGAGTAAGAAGGCTAATAAAATAAGGATAAAATTTGTGGAGTTGGGAGATATGATTAACTGAACAGCAACGAGACACAAAAGAAGCACTAGGGTCTTTCAGTGTTGCACCGAATGTATCGTTTGTAAAGCCTAGAGTTACTAGAGACCCAAATGTGACAAGTCCCCCAAATCATATCGAACAGTAAGAATGAGAAGGACCAAGCAGGGATTTGTAGGAAAATATTTTATACAGGCAAGCCAGATCATTACTCTGCGTGATGCCGCTAGAAAGCCACACAAACGCAGACAGAACGCCTGACATATTGATCTGTATGAAGTATATCTGTTGCTGGTTTATGAATAAATTGTAAATCAGCAACAAGTGCTTTTAGAGTCCTCAAGACAGGACAGCTGTTGAATGAGCAGACCGTGATCAGGGCAACTAGAAACTTTGGAATTATTAAGGAATACCTCAACCGACGCGTTTCCAGTGACAGCGTACGTTTTAATAAAATGAAAGGATGAGCCCGATTAAAGCTACACAAATTGTCAATTGAAAGAGTTATATTCAATGTGGGGTCAAAATTAAATAAGTATATATCGTCCAAAATTCTTGCGAGACAAGGGGTGATGACAATGGCCGGTAAATGCTGAGATCATCTTTTGGGCCTTTGTCCTTGTAAGTGCAGGTCAGAGCACTTAATTGCAGTAGGGAATGCGCAAGTAAAAAGAGGATAATTACAGATGCTTTTAGAAGGTACATACTAAACTTGATTGCCTTGGAGGGATCGCTATAGTTGTCCTTCTATGTCTGACCTTTTGCAGTTGAGTTGAAGCCTAGGCTCAATTAGAGTGAAGAGTACGCCTAAAAAGGCTCAAATAAAAAAAGCAGCCGGAACATGCTTGCATATATCGATAACAACTATGCTGAAGTTTTCTAGATTTGGACGCGGTGGAGCTATGCGAAAAACAGGAAAACAGACGCTTTTTACGAAGACCTAATCAGTGTTATCCGTCAATCGCCAGTAAATAAATCTGTGGTAGCGTTTAATGATGTCCATATTGGGAAACTAATACGACTTTAGCATACCGAAAGACTGCTCGAGCTTTTTACAGCACTTATACAATTGTTTAGGGATGATAACGAAGGGATTTTTAAAAGGAATTTTGAGGATAAGATCTGTTTTAACTATACGGTTAAGCGTTGGGAGTATAGTACCCAGTTGAGGGGATTAATTTTTCAAGGCTTCAAATTTTCATTGGCTAGTAGGATAAGCAAGGAAGCAATATAGTACCCGGCGAAAGTAGGTCATTGGAAGTTATCAAGCTTTCTCGTAATGGATGGCTAGAAGCAATCTCCCTGGATTGATTGGGCTTAAGTAATTACGGACGGTAAAGATTTTCCGAGCAGTCAAATGATGATGATGATATTGATTGTGTAAACTTGTGTATTACAGCTGAGCTGTCATCATCGAGAGCCACTGAGGCCTTCCAAAAAACTTATAATGATGATTATATATTGTCATCTGGTTGGCAAAGGAGGATTAATGAGATCTTCTTTTATAAAAAAAAAAAAAGAATCCCAATTAATATATGCAGTAACGATTGAAACGCAACATTGATGTTGAACGTGCATAAAAAGCTAAATAGATTTGTGTATAAACGTGTGAGGCATTGTGTGTATGAGTGTATAAACGTGAAATGCAACAATCAATAAGGCTGGTCGCACAGATCAGTCCTCGTTAATTCTTCTCATTCAACTGATCTTTACTAAATCTATCTTCCATACATACCATATTAATGTTGTCAAATACCATGTATCTGTATCGATTATCACCTATATGCCTCAAATAAGTACAATACATTAATATTCTTATAGCGTTCTGTTTATTCTCATTGATAGACATTTGCTCTCAATTAGACTCACTTCGTCACTTGCCTGTTTGCCTGTATCTCCGTCTGTTGATTTTGTATGACGCCCTCTTTTTTGCGTGGTATCATTTGCTTCATATTCTTAGGAAGATCTAATGTCGTCAACAGCATATTTATGATTGATTCGTCCTTATTTCTGCTTGTCTTCTTCTGCGCGCTGTGAGATTTGAGTTTAGCTGTTTGCCCATTTTCCCCTTTAGCCCCCTTCGCTTTATCTACTGTTTGTCCATTCGTTTCATTAGATCTTGCTCTCATCAATACAACACAATTGTCATCATCATATAATATCATAGATCTGTTCCGTCGTATCACAAGGTCGGCTTGATTCACACTCGGTCATTCGCTACATGTACGTCTTTCGATCATCCTTCCTCCATCTTATGTCATCTCAGTTACTCATGTATCGCTGTCTGTTTTTTCGCTTCGCTGGGTTCTATATTATATTTCTTAATTCCTTTGCTCATAATATTTATATAGACTTAATTAATATTTAGCGCCTTCTGTTCGTGATGCATCATTAGCGATACCGCCGTCGTCGTAACTATTGTCAGCTTTATAATATAGCATCATATCCTTCATATCTCTCTCTCTCTCTCTCTTTCTCTCTTTCTATATATATATATA